GGACCTTCAATTGGGCTCCGCTCTTCAGATAATGGGACCTCGATTGGGCCTTGCTCTTTTGGGCCTTCTGCTTGGGCTGCATCTTTTGTGTGTCAACAGATCTATTTGTATTTTTGAAAAGATTTGGGACACACTGCAATTTTCCTTCATTTTCCTATTTTGTTGATTTCTTTTATTTCGTTTATATAAAGGGGATGAGAAATTCATCATTTTACGCATATCTAATGGAAAAATGGACAGAAAGACGTGATTTATAATTACGTGAAATGTCGGGAATTTCTTATGCTAAAAAATGTTAAAGGTGGATTAATAACAGTTTGCAAGTATTGGGGTAAAAAGTACAGATTTTCCATTTAATTTCTATCCACCAGGGCAGTAACATATGCGACTTATGAGTTATGTGGAACACATTGATACTTAGTTTAACACTTTATGACAGTCCAAAAATCGCTAAAAATGAGAGTATTAAAGAACAATTTTACCCAAATATAACAATCCTTTATACTATTTAGTTCAATGCATCAAACATGTATTAAAGACACCCATTAGCACAATCCTTTATATCTGATTTTTAATATTTGGACTTCAAGATTCATATCGCACTTATTTTATACAAATTTGCACTTATTTCTGGATAAGTAGAATCACAATTTTGAAGATAAGCAAGATGACCATTCAAGCACAGTTTCTGCACACAATCAGCACATTATTATTTCCTCAATCATTCAACTTATTTGTATGCAGAATTTATAACAGACTTTTCCTGTTTAAACATCCAAAAGTTGCAAAACTGACTTATTCAGATAATTAATGTAATCCTTAAATGTATAGCTACCAAAAACAAGATATGTAATCCATGATAAACCAGAAAGACATAATTTAAACCAGAGCTTAACTGAAGCACCTTGAAACAAGGCAGATGCCTTACTTTCTAGCAGACTCTTTCCTCAAAGCATTTTTTGTGATCCTCTGTCTCTTATGTCCTTCCACATTACCAGAGGAAGATCTCTCTTTCGTAGCATTCCTCTTTCTTAATTTCAAATCCTTTGCACAGATGGTGTACTGGTTTCGTGCATCAGGAATGCTGAAGTCAGCAGGGTTCTGGTTGAGTGTGCAAACATGTTCTTCCGTCCTAATTCTCAGTGGCTGGGGAGTTCCAGGATTGGTGGATCCCTCCAAGCCAATGGACATTGATGGAATGACTTCTCTATGAGATTGTCGAGGGAGAATCTTAGATCCTGATGGACCAACACCTAAGCTCTCTCGCGAAGATACTTGACCTGTAAAACAAGAAAAAATGGGAAATGAATCTGCAGTGGTGAGAATTCAAATGAAGACTTTAGCATGTCAAGCACTTACGGTAAGACAAAGGTTTCTTAAAACTTTCATTAGTACCATAAATGCCCGACGGTAACACTGGGAATTCCTTTAAATGGTGATGCTGAGGAAAGAAAGATATACTCAGGGCATTCCGTTTCTCATCCCCATTCAAACTTGGATGGTACTCGCAGGGAGAAAAGTCTTTATAACGGAAACTTTCCATGCCAACATTAAAAGAACTCCTTGATATCATACCTTGATTCATTAAAGATAGCAACTGCATTGCCGGAATAGTGTCGTTGGAGTAAGAATCTAATGACCCCATAGATTTTGGGCTGGGCCCAATTCTTCCCTGTTTGAGTAATGACATATCTTGCACTGCCAGTTTTGCCTCAGGACCCTTTATGTCACTGATGGTCTTTCCTTTATGCTGCGAGTCGACGAATGAATGTGTACTTTTATTATTAGACTGAGTTGACCAGTTCTTGGCAATGTCAAGATGAAAAGGCACATTGTCTTTGCTAGAAGACCACGGTGATATTGCTCCTTTCCCAAGTCTTGATCCGGTTATGTTGGAACCTGAAGCGGAAAATGCTGGGTTGCTTTGTTGATTCTGCAAAAAGGAATTGAAGAATGAACTCTCTTCCAATTTGCTCATGTCGAACTGATTTATACTTGACCAACCAAAACGGTTGTGATTGCTCTGGTCAGCTCTTATATTGCCACTTTCTGAAATCACACTATTTCCCCTCGTGTTGGGGAGCAGAAAATTCGTCACGATTGAATGTCCGTTGCCATGTAGTGCAGGAGACCCTCTTGGGCTTTTATTGGTTCCCTTGTGCAGGAAGAGATTTCTTGAATTCCCAAAAGCCCTTTCATGCTGGTTCTTGGCCATGAGCTCAACTATTTCCATTGGTATATCATCCGACAGTCCAAGTTCACTCCTCTCACAAGTCTGTTGGTCGTTTTCTGGCGCAGAAACTCCTAATCCTTGGCTCTCTCTTGCTTTCTCCTTGATGTAGGAGGCAGAAATATCCTGACAAAAAAAATAAATAAATAAATAAAATAATAATAATAATAAAACAACAAAATGCGAAGTTAATTACACTGAATCAAAAGAACGAGATTAATAGAAATAAAAGTAAAATAAAGAGATTAAATGGCAATAACAAATTGTCAATACAAGTTCCCAATCTCATAAAAGTAAGCACAAACTGATTAAAAAAACTCTCAACGGCATGAGATAGCCTCAATTGAAGTGAACTCATAATCAGACAAACATGCAGCACTCAGTCAGTATACTGCAACTCCTTAAAAACTTTTAATAAGAAGCTGACATGGAAATTTAAGTTATCAGATAATATAATGTGACTTTTAAGTACATCATCTATAACATGCAAAAGATAAGTTTTAGTGGTGCTATCATATGTAGTTACTAATATTTAGCAAATAGTATCATGCTTTCAGTTCCAGGACTAACGATTGGCTCTTATATTGGGGCCTGACTAAGAATTTTCATGGCATTGTTGGCAAAATCAGATATAATGTTAAAACAGTTTTGTGGACTACGAGAATTGCATGTAATAAATAATAAAACATTAACAATGAACAACTTATAACAGTAAAGAAGACTTGGGAGTACCAAAGTGTCATGCATAGGAAAACTCTCATTTCCAGAAAGAGTAGGTAGTTCCTCTCCCATTGTAGGGGTAAATGTCTCGTTGAGATCCAATGGTAACACTTTCCTCCAAGGGTGCTTCCCTGGAATGCCCCTTTGCTGTATGAATGAAGTCTGCTGGTTGGAAATTCTTTCGACATCCATGACGTTGTTGAGCGAGAGACTTAATGCCACTTTTCCATTGATATTGCCTTCTCCCGTATTCATATTGCTTGGAGGCATGAAAGTAGCTTGATCAGCTTCAACTTCTGGCCTCTTACTCTTGGACAAACAAGAGTTTCTCTCTATATGTTGTCCAGATTGAAAACTCTCAAAATTTTTACCCGTTTGTCCTAACGTCGAAGGAATATCTGCCAACTTACAGAAACTAGTATCGCCAATAACAGCATGTTTGTGCAAATCCACAGTGCTGATCCTGGGCACTTCTCGTGCAGGGATTGTTCCATCAACAACGTGGATATGCCGTTTCTTTTTACTGAAATCAAGAATTTTCCTTTTCCTAGTCTTGATCCAGTTAGTCTTCGTTCCAAGTTGCAAATCCAATTTTTTCAAATCATCCCCTTCTGATTTGGAGTCAGAAATTTCAGGTATTCTGTCTTCTACATGAGGAATTTTTCTTTTCTGAACATCTTCAGGGATATTTACTGCATGCTGAGGGGCTAAACTTGCTCCACACTTGGCAGACACAACGTGCATTCCACTGGATGAAGCATGTTTGATTCTTGGGGTCCCACTTTGTGAACTTTTTTCGGTCTGCAATATATCAGCCAGATAACGCAACTTTTGTTTCCTCCTATGCAGCAGCCCACTTGAATTATCATCACTTCCAGATGATAAATTGTTCAGCTCACTGACTTTGATGGAGGGAAGTCCAGTTACACGAGCTAAACCAGAATTTAAGGTGTCGCTCTGGATCTCAATGTGGGGACATGTATCTACATCATCAATCATCCAGTTGTTTGGCATTGGGACATTGCTTTCTCTATGATCAATAGAATCTGTTGCGAAAAAAAAAAAAATACTAGTTTCATCATTGGGACAACAATAAGCAGTTTGAAAGATTACAAAGTTGCTATCAAATAACCTGACGCATTTGTTTCCTTCCCTCGATTGTGCAATGCAGTAGCTTGCGTAACATAAAAACTAGGATTGTTACATTCTTTTTCTCTAAAATCTGCTTCATTTTTGCTGCCTGCATAGACAGTTTGGACATTACAGATTGAAACGTGGGAAAAAGTTGTTCAAGCTCAAACCTAAAGATATGTTTAAAATAATTAATATAAATATTAAATAATGAATAGTTACAAAAAGAAGTCATTTAGTACTGTACAGTCATATGTATAGACGAACGTACCTATGGTAGTTTCTTCGACGGGGCATGGATTAAAGTTTGGGATATTATTATTAGGATTATTATTTTCGGCAACTTCAAAGTCTACTGGCCCGTGGTTATTACCTGCAAAAGCAATGGAAAAAATACGAAAAGGAAACATTAAAAGCTTGAGCTGAACCTATAGATACATTGAGGTAAATGAAAGTTAAGAGTGCTAAAATTGTGCAAGTATGTACCACGAATTTTTCTCTCTCTAACTTCAGTAGTAGTTACATTCTCACTGTGTGAGGATGATCTATCTTTTTCTCCACCTTTTACACAAGCAGTTCTACACCTTCTATGAGTCGGTATTGTTTCTTGTGTAGTACTCTCAACAGTGCAGTTTAAGCACTGCCACCATCTAAATTTTGGGGCATATAATAAAGCAAGATTATCCTCCAAAACACCATCACCAGCTTCTGAAGCAAATGGAAAACAAAGTTTCCGATCCTTTCTCCTCATTTCAGCAACATATCCACTGCATCCACAGCAGGAATTGAGTCAGACAAATATTCTCTTTGTTGTTTACTACATCACATTCGCATATATACACAACATCAAGACTCTACTCACTTGTGTATGTTCATAATAATAATAAAAAAAAAGGATTATAATAATGAACTATAGCAAGCATGAATCAATTTCATTGACTATCAGTATCAATTAAGCCCATACTACTTAAGCATCACGCTATGTCCAATTAGAGATTATTCCAGATCAAATCTTGAAAGAGCATAAAAGGGGACAAACTTAATGGGGGAAAAATAGGAATGCTAAATTGTACAAGTCTAACTAAGCTCACAGTACATGGAAATTGCACAATAATCATGTATCCCTAATGTAAATACACTAGCAGATGCAACTATCATGTTCCTACATTGATGGGATGTCATACATTGCAAGTATGCATAACAGCAGACAGAAAGCACGCATGAATTAATCGTGCAGAAGGCGTGCACTAACTAGGAAAAAAAATTACAAATTAACCAAAACAATCAAGGTTGAAATGAATTAAGCAAGTGGTACAAGATGTTGGAAGTCTAAATGAAATGCTTACCGTATTGAAAAATGCCCGTGCACTGGTATCTCAATTTCTTCCATAGGAATACTGAGGTCTACAGCTATTGAGTTAATCTGAACAAATGATCCTAAAGAATTTGATGCAGAAACAGAAGAGTTGTTCCTCACGTGATTTTCTTCGAGAACCACAATACTCTTGTCCATTTCAGAAACAAGACCTAAACCAAAAGAATAAAATAATTAATCACATATGTGCATAAATTAAGATTTACAATCCTTATATACAATGCCTACTCTCCTAAAAGTTCAAAGAGAAACTTTAGATCATGTTAAGGGAACCAAACTTTAGATCACATTAAAGAAACTTTATATTTGAATGTCCATATGAATGCTATCAAATCCAGTCTAAGTACAGAAATTTAAAAGATACTATACATACACAATTGCAAAAAATAACATAAATGGTTACGATTTATACGAGACAGCACAAGAACCGCACGAGAACAGCACAAAGCAATTAGAAGTGACTGTACCAATTAGCGGTGCAACTCAAATATGATTGAAACCCTAGTTTACAGTGACAACAAGGACAAAGCTGGATCGCATAAAATATTTTTGTACGCATGGGATACAATAAATATACAGCCAAATGCACCAAATAGACAGCGAAGGAAGACTAAAATTAAAAGTGAGAAGGTAAAGCAATTTTAGGGTTTCCTTTAGGTGAAAATTGTCAATAGATCTGGTAAAAAAAAATTATACGCATACGGTACAATAAATATAAAGCCAAATGCACCAAACTGACAGCAAAATTAGCACAAGGCAAACCGGATTTAGGGTTTTATTAGGGTGAAAAAGGCTAATAGATCTAACTTTTAACAAGGTACAAATAAATATGTGTCAATGGCTCAAAAATTGAATCAAAACCCATTAAGAAAACTCAATTATAACACTGAGAATGAAAGCCACATATTAGCACCAATTCCAATGCCTTAAATTAGGGTTTATCAAATCACAAAACGTTTATATCATTCCAATGGACAGATCCAGTTGAGACAACCTCTACAGAATAAACTAAAAGTACCATAAAATGATAACAACAATCAAAAGAAATCAAACCCAGAAATGGCAAATAATAAATGGACCGGCAAAAATGAATACAGATCAATCAGTTCAAGATAAAGAGATATATACGAGGCAAAGATGAGCTCAAACTCAGCTAAACCTCACCCAAATCCACGCAGGAAATAACACTCATAAAATACAAAAGTGAAATTGAATCGCCAAACAAAGAAAGAATATCAGAAAACAAACCTTTGGTTGACGTTGAACCGAAAAATCAAATCCAAACCTCTCTAGACCCAGAAAATTCCCTCCACAGCTCACAGCAAAACCGGTATCATATGCTAGAATACAAACCGGAGAATCTCTATACAAGATTTTCTGCGACTAATTTACAACTAGTTGTGAGGAATTCGAGTGCGAAATATTATAGAACCCTAACGTTTTAGGTTTGAAAATTCAGGAGAGAGAACTAGAAATGTTTAACACAGAGAGAGAGAGAGAGAGTGAAAATGAAGACAAAGTAGAGGAGCGAGAGAGTGTCATATTTTTTATCTTTTCCTCAAAGAAAGGCTTTTTAGTGTGTGTACAGTGTGTATAGGGACGTACAAAAGCATTAATAGTAATTTTTATCCTGAATACACATGCAAAGGGAAATTTTTACTATAGGTCACTCCATTTACATTTGTTTCAATGTGGACACTCAGCTTACAGTTTTGTTACAGTTTTAACCATTTTCTTACAAGACCAATCCCATGTGGCTAGGGAGGCATTTTTACCCCAAACAGTCCAATCAATACCATAACTTCATCAATCAAACGATCGATCCATTTCCAATTCAAATTAAAATTGATCCTATTCTGAATCTAACAATTAAGAAACGAACATTTGTGATCTGGATTTTCAAATTTAAGTACGAAATTTTGATGCGATATTTCAAAAACATTTTTTTATTAGTCTATCGATTAAAGCAAAATTTGAAATGATTTTTCATTAATTAATACATACTTAGAATAATCGATATCTTTAAACAACCGAAAACGTAAAAAGTGAAATAAGAAAATTTATGTAACGGTCTAATATTTTTTATAATTTATTTTCGAACCCTCAAAGAATAAAATAAACCTAATTGTGGCAGATATAATATTCGAATTAAATAAGCACTTAAATTTCCGAACATATTGAAACGAAATCATTTAAACAAATTAAAAATTCTTAAATCACTCATTCATCCACGTAGGACTGGCAATTAATTTTGGTCACATGTGTAGACAAAAATTGAAGGATCAAATTGACCTTCGGTGGCCAATGAAAATAAATTTGAAAGTTTACTGACCTACGGACAACTTTTCCCACTCTTAAAATAGAAACCATATCCAATCACAATATGCCAGCGACGCAGTTGGATTGGATTCTTATTACCACCCAACTATGAGTTACAGAAACCCTAGTCAAACGAGAGTCCGAAATCGTGACCCACACGCACCACCTTTCTAAAGGAAAATTGACAGTGTCTTGTCAAAGCGGGCCCACGCACTAACCTGGGTTATGATTGGTGCGTGCCTTCACCGGTTTAACATGCGTGTGCTTTTATTAGTGTGAAAAAGAAAACCCTAGAGTTTTTGTGGTAATAAAGAAAGTAAAGTGGAGATAACCCTAAATTCCGTTATGAACAACCGTTAAGGTGTTCGTATTAATTACTAAAGAGGAAAAGGAAAGTAACTAAATTAGGCAAAAAAAGGTGTTAGGGTACTGGAGGTTTGCATGGCATGGAAAATGAAATTCGTTTTACTTGTAATTTATTTGGTGGTAAAGAATTTGTTCTATTTTTTATTTAATTATTATAAAAATCAAGTATGATGAACGGTGTTAATAACGTGTACTAGTAACGTACGTAATATTTGAAATAGAGGTATCCTATATGAGACTTCAATTTAATTTATGAGGTATATTTGACTCGTAAGTGTATTTTTCAACCGTCATAAATGATGACAGTGATGATTGTGCGAGTAAATGGAAGCGGTGTACTCTGCTTTATCATAAAGAATAAATATTATTCTCGATTCTATAAAGTTGCAAAGAATTCATTCGTGACGATGAGAGCCGGTATATTTATACGTAAGGTCATAAATTGGGGAACTCTCTTGATAGCTAAATATATTTCGATTCACGCATCTTTAATTTAATATTATATCATAGAGAATTAAATATATTTATTGATCAAGATGAGAATGTGAGCTTATGTACAAATTGTCCACCAACCAACCTAAATTTTGATTTTTCTTATTTATACCCGATATCAAATAAAATATAATATTATCTCCAGTTATAAGTTCTCTATAAGGTTATATCATAAGAGCTCTTGGGTGTGGTGGGTCATCGTTTGCCAGGTCCTTGAGTGCCCATCATACCACGTAGTTAGTGCACTAGGTTGACTCGAGACTTGACTTTCCGAATCTAGAACTCGAGCTCAACTTAGGATTTGCCAACTCTTAGTGTTTTTACGTCCAAATGAGGTGCCACCACACTCAAGTCATGATTCTATTTAAAGTATTCTTGTGTTGCAAATGAGGACAAAAATAAATATATTGGTTGTGACACGGTTTATTCTATTGATCCAGAATTAATTTATTAATTCTTTATAATTACATTAATTTTTCAATACATTTTATTTTGATTTGGGGATGATTTGAAATGTTACCATGAGTTCTGACATGTATGAAATTATATTTTCGACCTCGCTAACATTTTTACGGGGACAAATTAACTAATAGACAACAAATTCTGTGCAAATAAAATGAAGTATGAATTTGTTTTTCCTGTATTCTGTGTTTTCATAAGGAATAAATATTTGTTTCCTATATTTTATAAAGTAGTTGTAGCGAAAACATAATGATGTTTTGACTTAGCTCGTGTCAGTATAACTTGTACGACGCATAAAAGAGGCTCTTCAAGGTCCAAATACAAAAGGGTCGTGAATTGAGGTACTTTCTGAACAATTAAATATATATGGACTCGAAAGTAGAGATGACGACGAGACAAGATTGGGATGACCCACTCACTTCCCAACCCCAACAAGAACTTTTGTGCTTCTTCTACTAAAATAATGGTTACCATTTCAAATTTGTCTTCTTCAATTCACATATCATTCTTGAAATCTTAATTAACCACATGCAAATAGAAATAAAATAAGTTCCATAAAAGTTGGTTATTGTGTTTGTCATTAACGCTGAAGACATAAATTTACTTCCATTGACATTTTTTTTTCCATGGCATTGTGCTTTCCAAAACGAAGTCTTCACAAGATAGAAGCACACACTTAAAATAAATGGAAAAAGGACTCAGGGCAAAGATTATTCAATTTTGTTATAATTTTTTTTTTTTCATTGCATAAATCGTGGCATGTTTGGAGCAAGAATTGTGTTCCGTGTCGTGCCTCAACACAAAACTCCCAACTCCATAACTCGATTAACAGGGGAAACCTACTAGCGTTCGAAGCAGGGCCCACCAGGATCAGGATAAGCTATTTTTTAGGCCATCGTTACTCAAAGAATAATGCTGCTTTGTCACAAAGTAGGTGACATAATAGGTATTATTTTTATGTCATCGTTACTCAAAAGCTATTACTTTTACCTTTTATGTTGCAATGTAGAGGACATTATTATTCTATTTTGGTAAGCAACAATGACTGGGTACACGACTACAAATGGATCCATTCAAATTAAATAGATTTTGGTAATAATTCTGAATTTAAAAATACGACCTACTCTTAGAAATTGGGTGGAGCAGAGATTAAAATATTTAAATTTACTGCCCATTTTAATTATTAAGAGAATTTGAATTTTTCGTCACCAATCGTTGCAAACTACCACCAGTTACCGTTGCAACCACCACTGCTCCCACAATCCACAAGCCATCACCACCTCCCCTAAAGATTTGTCAAACTCCCATATGTGAGGAAAAACAAAAAGAAAGAAAGAAAGAGGGGGGTTTTCATTTATTCTTCTTCTGATATCTTCTTACAAATTCGCATTTTTCAAAACGGATTATCAATTCAATCCTCAAATATTTCTGGATTTGTCTCGAAATCTTGATCTTTTCCTATCTTTATGATAGCTCTCCAGAGCCCACTTAGCGGAGGAAGACGGCGGTGACACGGTTGGCTTCTTGGTGGTGATGAGAGGTGTTTTGGTAAGCTTAGCCGCATGCACGGCGGAGGTGGGATAACAAATGGAAGTAGTGGGGTTAACCGACAATGTGGAATGGCAGTGGGATTGAAATACGAGGGAGAGAGATTGGGAATGAATAATGATTTGGAGGATAAAGAAGCAGTATTTGATAGATCAATTGTTGTCAATTTCTTGATTTAATAGCTTCTAATGCTGATTCTCTTTGCTTTCTCTCTCACCTAACTATTTGTGATTAATATACTGAAATTTGTATTACGTTTGAAAATTAAAATTTAGATTTTAATTTAATAAAGTCGACAATTAATTTTAATCACACATTTCATAAAATTCACAATTTTGTAACTACACATTTCATCATATTTTATCAAAATATATTACAAATCTGATTTTAATCTCTACCATCTATAAATTATTATGCTTGTCGCAAAGGGGTTCCCACATTGGCTGACTAGCATTGATTATTAATTCATATTGTGATACCAACATCGTAATAGCATTGCATTATTACTACTAGTATGTGCATTATACTGTTAGTGTCAGTATGTAATCTACGTTATCTACACTATCATTTTATTAACGACAGCATGTTACTTGCTTCACACTTGTAAGTTTGATCTTACCATTACTTTACTTTAACTTCACGTGTATTTGGAGAGATCAAATAGGCATTTGTATATGTGCAGTGAAGCTATTGTATTGTATTTTAAGTTGGTTTAACCCATATTACAGAAAAGATGTTATCAAGATTTTGATAAATCATAATGTGATAGCTATTTCCAAGTCTATCCGTAAAGTCTTGTCTCTACAAAGATAGTCCGTAAGCCCTTGCTCATTAGAGAGGCTCATATTTTAGCTATAAGCCCTCATATCTTGAAAACTTATTATAAGTATTTATCTACTCACAATAACTCATATTTTCGAAGCAATTCGTAAGTCTCGTTTAGTTGACAACTTATATTTCAAAGCTCGACCAACACAAAATTGTATAACTCAGACTTTGGGAAACTAATGTCACATTTATAAATTATGTGCCATCCATGTGGCAAGGGGATTCCACATTGATCGACTCAACATTGATGATCAATTGGATTGAGCCAATCAAATCAAGTAGCATCATCTTGAGTTTGGGCACATTCAACTAAATTTATCTTGGCCCAATTCATTCCCTATATAAGATGATTACATTTACACTTGAAGTAACGTTCTTCTTGTAAAGTCCCGAATGTCATATTTTTAAATTAGTTGGTATGATCATTTCAGAAATGAATTATGGAGGCTCGACCCATTTAAGGTAATAAAAGTCCAAGACATAAATTATTTAAAAGCCCAAAAAATTAAAATATTAAATTTAAATAAATTTGAATGCAAAGATTTAATGAATAATTAAGTTGTCACAATGATAATTTACATGATATTTCACAAGTAACCCAAGTTTTGATCACCGTGCAGATATTTTTATGATGTATTTTTGTAAAAATGTGTTTGGAGTTAAAAACTCTTCGTTTTCCATATTAAGGTACAATTATATCAAGTTAATTAGAAGGA